CACTGCATTTCCATTCATTTGAGTAACTTTTATTTCTCTTCCTCCTTCTCTTCCTGGTCAACCAGGAAATGTCATTGACATAAAAAGGGACTTCCTGATCTACATATTTAAAGCAATCCCTATCAAAATACCAGTAACATTTTTTACAAATCTAGAACAAACAATCCCAAAATTTGTATGGAACCACAAAGGACCCCAAATAGCCAAAGCAATCTTGAAAAAGAAAAGCAAAGCTAGAGACATCAAAATTTCAGATTCAAGTTATATTGCAAACCTGTAGTAATCAAAACACTATGGTACTGGCACAAAATAGACACATAGGTCGATGGAACAGACTAGGAAATCCAGAAGTGAGCCCACAACTGTATGGTCAATTAATATTCAACAAAGCAGGAAAGAATATTCAATGCAAGAAAGACAGTTTCTTCAACAAATGGTGTTGGGAAAATTGGAGAGCAACATGCAGAAGAAAGAAACACTATACACAAAAATAAATTCAAAATGAGTGTGAACCTAAACCCATAAAAAAATCTTAGAGGACAGCACAGGCAGGAATGTCTTTGACATTTGCCGTAGCAAATTTTTTCTAGATAGGTCTCCTGAGCCAAGGGCAATAAAGCAAAAATAATCTATCTGGACTACATCATAATAAAAAGTGTCTGGATAGCCAAGAAAACAGTGGACAAAACTAAAAGGCAGCCTGTGAGGTGGGAGAAGGAATATTTCTGATAGGGGAAAAATCCCTCTACTTTCCTTTTCAGCATAACTTTGACTAATCTTGGACCTTTTCTTTTCTATATGCATTTAGAAACAGTTAGTTATACTCTGTTTAAAAACCTCATTGGAACTTTGATCAGAATAGCATTAAATTTACTGATTCAACTAGGAAGAATTGACATATTTGTGATATTAAATCTTCCCAGTAATAAACCTGATATTAACTCTTCATTTACATATAGATTTCCAAAGAATATTTCAAACTTTTCTTCATAAACATTGCACAGTTATTTTAGGCTTATTTTGAGGCTTTTTATAATATTTGTAGCTATTTTTAATGAAATCTTCCTTCTTATTAAATTAGAATTACTAATTGACTCTTGCAAGTTATAAAAATGTTATTGGGTATTTTTTTTTTTTTTTTTTTGGTCAGTACTCTATATACTGATTTCTCTGAACTCTTTTTAGCACAAGTTTGTGGGTTTTCTTGAATTTCCTATGTTGACAACAGTATTGTCTACAAATACCAACTTTTTTTTTTTTTTGGTAACACTTTTTTCTAATCGATTGCATTGGCTAGGATCTCAAATACAACAATGAATGATAGGGAGTGATATGAGTTATCCTTGTCTTATTCTAAACTTTAGTAGAATACTTTTCATTTGTTAACTATTATGTTTGCTATGAAGTTTTAATAAATAGCATTCATTAGGATAAAAATGTCCTCTTTTAGCCCTATTTTGCTTAGAGTATTTTAAGTAGTAAATGACTATTGTGATGGCTAATTTTATGTGTCAACTTAACTGGGCCATAGGATGCCCAGACATTTGGACAAACATTATTCTGGGTATGTCTGTGAAAGTGTTTCTTGGTAAGATTAATATTCAAACCATTAGACTGAATAAAGCAGATTGCCCTCTCCAATGTGAGTGGACCTCATCCAATCAACTTAAGGTCTGAATAGAACAAAAAGGCTGACGTCTCCCCACTTTGATTAAAAAGGAACTCCTCCTGTCTGACTCCCTTGACATCAGTCTTTTCCTGAAACATTGGTTCTTCTTGGGTCTTGAGCCTGCTGGCTTTTGAATTGGAATTATACCATCAGCTCTTCTGGATCTCCAGCTTATTGAATGCAGATCTTGGGACTTCTCAAATTCTGTGATCACATAAGCCAATTCCTTAAAATAAATCCCTATATCTATATCTATATCTATATCTACCTATATATATAGAGAGAGAAAGAGATTTATTTTATATCTATCTATATAGGGAGAGTGGGTGTATGTGTGTGTGTGTGTTGGTTTATGTATATGAATGTGTGTCTATATCTATTTATCTATCTCCTATTGGTTCTGTTTCTCTGGAGAACCCTGAATAATACATTTATATATTATTGAATATAATATATATTATTGATATAATAGCTATTGATATAATCCTGAAGTTTTCCTCCTTTAATGTAGTAATATCAATGAGCTTATTTAAATATTTTCTAATTTTGAAGCATTCCTGAATGTCTAGGAAACTGTAGTTGGTTATGATATGTTATTCTTTTTATATATTGCTAAATTTCATTTACTAGTATTTATGGGAATTTTGCATCTATGATCTTCAATAATATAGGCCTATAATTTTCCTTTATCACATTGTTCTTGTATGTTTTTGATATTATTGTTTTACTAAAAATGGGAAGATTTTCCTTTCTTCTGTTCTTTTTCCTAGTTGGAGTGGGAGAGAACTTTAAGGCTTAATAAACTTACTAATGAATCAACATGGGTCTGGCTTTTTAGTATCAATATATGTAGAGGATAGATTTTGCATCATAGGTATATTTTCTTTAATGGTTATTGGCTTATTTATGTTTTGTATATCTTCTGGAATTACCTTTATATTTTTCTAGACAAGTCAATTCAATCATAATTTTCAAATATATTGGTATAAACTTATATGTAATGTTCTAGTATGTTTTTTTAATTTTTTATTTTTTCAGTGTAACAGTATTCATTATTTTTGCACCACACCCAGTGCTCCATGCAATCCGTGCCCTCTCCAATACCCACCACCTGGATCCCCCAACCTCCCACCCCCCGCCCCTTCAAAACCCTCAGATTGTTTTTCAAAGTCCATAGTCTCTCATGGTTCACCTCCCCTTCCAATTTCCCTCAACTCCCTTCTCCTCTCCATCTCCCCTTGTCCTCCATGCTATTTGTTATGCTCCACAAATAAGTGAAACCGTATGATAATTGACTTTCTCTGCTTGACTTATTTCACTCAGCGTAATCTCTTCCAGTCCTGTCCATGTTGCTACAAAAGTTGGGTATTCATCCTTTCTGATGGAGGCATAATACTCCATAGTGTATATGGACCACATCTTCCTTATCCATTCGTCTGTTGAAGGGCATCTTGGTTCTTTCCACAGTAATGTTCTAGTATGTTTTTAAAAAATTTCTACTCTTTTGGGAGCTGATTATTCCCCTTTACAAACATAATGTTATTTGTCCATCTTTCAGTCATCTTCTTTCTCTACCTTTCTCTCTCTTTGACCAGTTTTACCAGATTTTTCCATTAGTTTTTTAATCTTTGTTTATATAATTAATCTCATTAAACTTTTCATTTTTTATTCATGTAATTTTGCTAAGCTTTTCACTTAAAAATATATTACTAATGTTTAAATTTGTCATTATAATCTTCTTTCTACATTGGGTTTACTGGTTGGTGAGGATATAATGGAAGGGGGATATCCTAATGTGTGATTCCAAAGCATGGCTTCAAGAAGGAGGACCCTGTGCATTATTGGTAAGGATGTAAATTGGTGAAGCCATTCTGGGAAACAATATGGAGGTTCCTCAAAAAATTAAAGATAGCACTGCCATATAATTCAGCAATTTCACTCCTGGGTATTCATCCAAAGAAAAGGAAAACATTAATTAAAAAAATATGCATCCCTATGTTCACTGTAGCATTATTTACAATAGCCAAGATACATAAACAACCTAAGTGTACATCAATGGATGAATAGATAAAGAAGATGTGGTATATATACACAGTGAAATTTTATTCAGCCATAAAGAATGAAATCTTTCCATTTGCAACAACATAGATGGATCTTGAGGATATTATGCTAAGTGAAATAAGTCAGACAATGACTAATACTGTATGATTTCACTTATAGGTGGAATCTAAGCAAATGAACAAACAAAACAAAACTCAAAGATGCAGAGAACAGATTGGCTGTTGCCAGAGGGCAGTGGGGATAAGGAGTGGGGAAACTGGGTGAAGGTGCTTAAGAGGTGTACACTTCCAGTTATAAAATAAATAAGTCATAGGGATGTAATGTTAGCATGGTGACTGTAGTCAATATTATTGTGTCACATACCTGAAAGTTGCTAAACGAATAAATCTTTAAAGTTTTCATTACAAGGAAAATATTTTTGTAACTTTGTATGGTGACAGATAGTAACTAGACTTATTGTGGTAATCATTTCTTAGAGTATACAAATATCAAATTATTATGGTGTATACCTGAAGGATATAATGTTATATGTCAATTATAGCTCAATAAAAATTAAAATTTATAAATAAGAGCTAAGGACATGAATTAAATCTGTCCCAATGTGTATGTGCACATGTACTGCTTTTGTTCTAGTATCTTAAAATTATCTATATTTGATATAGCATTTATTCTCAAAGTGGTTTCAACATGAGTGTTCTTCCTGTATCATCATGTAAAATATAGTTGCCTAGTTACTGAGTAAAATGATCATGAATACAATAGAGAACAATGCCGATGAATTTTTATGTGTAGAAAAGTTTATTAGAAAGCAGAGAAGCAAAAAAAACATAAGAAATTCACTCTTTTAGAAATACATAATTGGACCCCCAGGTCTAAGTGTATAACTGAATCCCAGGTCAGAGGGTATCCAGTCAGTACTGCATAGGGATTACAGATAATATTTACTTTGTTAAGAAGGTTAATCTAGAGCTCCATAGTGATAAGTAAGAAAGAGGAACTTAGAGGAGTGGGATGATTTTTTAGCTGATGGATTACAAATTAATATCCATATTTGGCACCAGTATTGAAAGGAAAAGATAATAATGGAAGAACTTAACATGAACCAGAATGTGCTCACAGAGTCAGTGGGTTGGGTTCATTGGAATCATGAGGCTCAACCTGTGAATGAGGTCAACCAGACTCTATCTGTCCTAATGCTCAGCACAAAAGGAGAAGGGTCTACATCTGTAGGGCAGAGGTAACCAGAGATGGTAGTCAGAGGGCAGGGGGCTCAACAGCAAGAGGAGGCACAGCACATGGGGCGGGGGCAGGTGGAGATGACACAGGTGGGGTGATAGCAGGTGGTGTGGCCAGAGACCTGGCCACAGACTGGGCGCAGGCAGCAGGAGGGGCAGCAGCAGGAGGGGCGGCAGCAGCTGGAGCCACAGCAGGAGGGGCGGCAGCAGCTAGAAATGCAGCAGGAGGGGCAGCAGCAGCTAGAGCCACAGCAGCTGGAGCCACCGCAGTTGGATCCACAGCAGGAGGGGCGGCAGCAGCTGGAAATGCAGCAGCTAGGCCTACAGCAGCTGGAGCCACAGCAGGAGGGCTGGCAGCAGCTGGACACACAGCAGGTGGGGCGGCAGCAGGTGGTCCTACAGCAGGTGGTCTGGCAACAGCTGGGGCAGCAGCAGGTCTCCTGGCCACAGCCCTGGTCAGAGCAGACGGAGCCACAACAGGAGTTGACCATGGTGTTAGAGGTTAGAGGTTCTGGGTGGGTTTCCAGAAGAAATAAATTCTCAAGTGTGATCCTTCCTTGCCCTCTGTCACTTTTATACCCTGCTGAGGGCTACTATGACCACGTACAGGACTCTTCTTGTTTATCCTAATAGAGAATCAGCTTTAGTAAATTAGATAATTATGTTTATCTGGTAAATATTCCTATATATAGAAAAGGCTCCATTTCCTTTTCCTGCTGTACTGTGAGCTATCTGATTTGGTTAAAAACACTTAAATCAGCTTCCATATCTCTTCCCTTGCCTACTGTGTCTTCCAAACAAGTCCCATCCCATAGCATTGTTTCACTGGATTTCACAAGAATTAAATCTTCATTTATGTATTTAACTCCAGGATAGTATGTTGAGAGTGGATTTTATGATGACTAAATCTGCTGTTAAAGAGGTTAACAACCAGTCATATAAAAATGCTGGTAGGAAAATAGGGTGAAAGAGCCATCTTGGAGGAGGGGGGCAGTCCCTTGTGTGCAGTAGGGAATATGGTGATTCCTTTAGATTTTATGGATGGCCAGTAAGGTATAAAGGATCTTATCGAAGTTCCTATCTGTTTTGTCTTATTCACTTACTCAGTTTGAAAGTCATAATGCAATGATTCACTGCTATTGAATAGTAAAAAAACCATCGGCATGAATAGGTCCTTTTAAAAATTATTAAATTATTATGGACATGTTCTTCAGAAATAGGGTATCATAAAGGAGTACTTTTTCTCTTATTTTGGTGGATGAACATACCCAATAGAATATGCATATTGAATATTTTCTTGTATTCTGAGCTTCTGTCTCTCAAAAAGTTATGTTTGAGATATTTTGCTTGATATAAATGAGATCTAAAAGATTAAGTTTTAATCTGTGTTCTATAGGCATTGAATAAGACAAGACACATATGTAGGGGTTTGGCAAGCATGTAGAACATAGTATGATAAATAACAATTATGTATTTAAATCTGTACACTTATGAAATATGAGATAATACTAATAGTTACTATTTTTGAGTGCCTATTGTGTGTCAGGAATTTTCTGTGTCTTTAATTGTTACCTTGTTTATGCTTCGCAAGATCTCTAAGAGGTGGTTGCAATTTTTCTTAATTCTTCAGACATGAGGTAATTGAGGTTCAGATAGATTGAAATCATATATTCAATAGAGAAGATGGTTCTTTCTTAGAAGTTTCAAACGGGTATGAAGAGTAATAATTCCATGTCCTTTCTCATACTGTTTCATTTGTTTAAATATGCTTTCTCTCTTGTCAATTCACAAACTCTTGCTCATACATAAATGTTTATCTGGATACCAACTCACCAACTCATCTCTAATGTTTTTCTTGACATCTACCACACTCAAAATGAATCCTTCTTTTCCTTTTAATCCAAGGTACCTGTGATATAGGGTATCACACTCTACTGTAACTGGTTTATATCTTTTTCCCCCGTATTCCTTCTATATACCCCATGAGGTCAGAGATTGGCTTATTCATATATATAAACAGGGTGCCTAGCAATTGCTCTGAAAGAATGTTAGTTGAGTGAATGTGGAATTTACTGAAAACATAAGGCATTTACTCACCCTTTATCATACTATAGATAATCTAGATGGATGGAAAAAAGAAAAACATTCAGACAATGGGGATATAATTGAATGGGGGTTTATTTTGGCCTCTCGTGGAGTAAATGACTTGTCTGGTTGGTATGTATAGGATAGTAAAGACAAATAATAGTTCACTGCTAAAATGAGGAGAATGTGAAGATATTCTTGAATTTATACAAAGAAACTGTATCATCACACAGTTGGGAGAAAGGTGTGAGAGAACATCTAGGCTTTTTTTTTTTTTTTAAGATTTTATTCATTTATTTGACAGACAGAAATCACAAGCAGGCAGAGAGGCAGGCAGAGAGAGAGGAAGGGAAGCGGGCTCCCCGCTGAACAGAGAGCCAGACGCGGGGCTCGATCCCAGGACCCTGGGATCATGACCTGGGCCAAAGGCAGAGGCTTAACCCACCGAGCCACCCAGGTGCCCCACATCTAGGCTTTTAAAATATTATTTGCCTGGGGGTGGGGGAGTAACGGGAAGTAGGAGGAAAGTTTAGGTGGTGGCTGTAGGCTAAGGATGAGAGATGAATGCCTACCTAGGTTGGTGGCAATGGGAGTAGTAAGGAGGATAGTGATGCAATCAATAGCACTTCAAAGAGAGTCAACCAAGATCACTTACAAAATGGGGCAGTAGAGGTAACAGGAGACCCCATCATTAAAGAGGACTCATAATTTAATATTTTTTCAATTGTATACACATTTTACAATTAAATTCAGATAGTGAAAAGATAATTATTTGTAATAAGGAAAATATAGTTTAAAATCTCACCAGAAACAGTAAAAAGACAAATGACTGAATGAAAAAAAAATACCTGCAATTTATACCAAAGACAAAGAGTCAATGATGTTAATATATAAAGCACTTCTAAAATTATACTGGAGAAGAGGAAAAACCTGATGGAAAATGAGATTCATATCATTCTCCATCATAGAAAGATGTCTAGTATCACACATAAGAATGGAAATGAAATTATATAGGATACCACTTCTCACCTGTGAGACTGTCAAAAATTCAAAATTTCACAATATTCTCTAATAGTAAGATTCTGTGGAAATAGACATGCTCATACCTTTCTTATGAAGATTTGACAATAATTCGCAGCATTATTCTTTGACTCCGGTATCCCTATTCTATAAATTGTCAAGGTATTCAGGCAAAACTATGAAAAGATGTTATGCAAGATTACTCATGGCACTGCTGTTTTTGAAAACAAAACAATAACAAGAGCTAGACACAACCTGGGTGTCCTTCAGTATTGTAGTGGTGAATGAGCTCTGTTGTATCCCCATGATGGAGTACTATTCAGCTGTTAAAAAGGAATAAATAGTATCTTTATATGCCACTATGAAGTAATCTCCAGTATATTGTTAAGAAATGATAAAGCAGATGGAGCAAAGTGGCCATAACATTCTACAATGTGTCTAAACCAATAAGGGAGGGATGTGGGTGGGGGATGGGCTAGATGGGTGAAGGGGATTAAGAAGTACACTAGTTATGATGAGCCCTGGGTGTTCTATGTAAGTGATGAATCACTAAGTTCTACTCCTGAAACCAATATTATACTACATGTTAACTAACTAGAATTTAAATGAAAATTTGGAAAAAAAATACTGCAGGTAGAAAAAAAATAAGGGAACACATATAGAAAATCTATTTGCTTATATTACATGAATTTTTTAAATAATGGAAGAACAGAGAAAGAGCAGAGGAAACAAAACAAAAACAATAAAGGGACTTACAATTCCTGCTGAGGAGTCTTAGGGACTAGATTTACACTTCTGCCTGAAGCAACTAAAAAAGCAGACAAAATAAATGAAACTGTGGCTTTTAGACATTGGCTATCAGGTCAGAACACTGGTGCCTTAGAATAGGGAAACAAATGAGGTGATCCATAGAATTGCCTCAGTTTATTTCTTGAAGAGAGTTTCTGGGGGGTGCAGCTCTGGGAGAGAGAACCAGGTAGAGCCTGGTAATCCTCCTGACTTGAGGAGACAGAGCTGGCATGAAGGAGACCAAATCAACTGCAATTCACAGCATAGGGTATCAGAGAGGAAAGAGTTGCACAGAGAACCCCAGAGGTGTGCAGAAGATCCACCTGCATCTTCAGCTGAGTACTTATGAGTGCATGTGCATGAAGAAACTACCCAAGGTCAGAAAAAAATCGACCCTGCCCCACCCTACCCATAAAAAACAAAAGAGAACAATCCTTGGAGCTGACAAAAGGCCAGAAACAGCTCATGTTCCCATGAGCCAGAGTGAAAAACCTTGTAATTCATGGGTCATTGGTTAAAAGACTTAGAAGAGTATTGCCTCAGGAGTGAGGCAGATTTTTCCCTAGAGTAAGGGCTGCTCTAATCCCACCATCAGTTTATAAGCAAGTCTTGAAAGGATCAGACTGTTAAATCAACTTAATTGCATTCTAGAACAATCAAGTCCTCGATTCCATCAAAATAAAAATTACTTTTCAAAAGATACTGTTTAGGCAGTAACCTTTTTGATATTGGCTGTAGCAACTTTTTTCTAGATTTGTCTCCTGAGGCAAAGGAAATAAAAGCAAAAATGAACTATTGAGAGTACATTAAAATAAAAAGCTTATGCACAGTGAAGGAAATGATCAACAAAACTTTTTAAAAGCAACCAACTGAATGGGAGACGATAGTTGCAAATGATGTGTTTGATAAAGAATTAGTATCTAAAATATATGAACAACTTATAAAACTCAACACCCAAAAAGCAAATAACCCAATTAAAAAATGGGCAGAGGACATGAACAGACATTTCTCCAAAGATGACATATAGATGCTCATCATTATTTACCATCAGGGAAATGCAAATCGAAATTATAGTGAGATAGCACCTCACACCTTTCAGCATGGCTACAATCAACAACAGAAGAAACAACAGGTGTTGGTAAGGAAGTGGAAAAAGGGGAAGCCTCCCACGCTATTGGTGGGAATGCAGACACTGGGCGGGGTGCTTCTACTGTGGAAAACAGTATGGAGTTTCCTCAAAAAGCTTAAGTAGAACTACCATATGATCCAGTAATTGCACTGCTGGATCTTCCCTACCCTCCCCAAATACCAAGACATGAATTCGAAGGGATACGTACATCCTTGTGTTTATAGCAGCGTGACTGACGGTAGCTCTTGGATGGAAGCCCAAGTCTCCAAATGTCCACCTACAGATGGATGAATAAAGAAAATGGGGTTTCTCTTGCCAATGGAAAAGTATTCAGCTGTAGAGGAAAATGAAATCTTGCCATTGGCAATGATATGGATAGAGCTAGAGAGTATAATTCTAAGCGAGTCAGTCAGTCAGAGAAAGACAAATACCATATTATTTCACTCATATGTGGCGTTTAAGAAGCAA